CCCCTCGAAACAAATCGATTTTCGAGACGAAAAAACGATAGGAATTAAGTTTAACACCTAATAATATGTTTAAAAAAAAATAAATTCATGAATAACCCGTTTGCAACATATCTTTAAAATTAATTAATTTTAGATGAAACCGATACTTACATAAAAAAATTATATCACTTTCCTATCTCGTCGATAGACTGAATTGTTTATATATCAACCATTTACATTTTTCACCTTTTAATTATTCTCTCTATCATAACTGGGGTATTTGTACTATTTACAAAGTATATGTAATTTTGTCGACGTTGTGAAACTTTAAATTCTTACTTTTCACCTACTGAAACCGAATGTACCCTTTTTTAAAAGAAAAACCAACTCGAGATAAAATTTAAAAAAGTAAAGAACTCTTTTATATTTAAAAACAAAGATATGGAAACTGATTACGTTTTTTCTTTCAAACATCTAATTCAAATATATTTTTGGAAAGCATGGATGTGAATGCGGAGTTGTCAAGGAAAATGTCATCGAATAAATAGATAGATTGCTTTCAGTAATAAACATTTGAGCTCCGAAATCTTGCAGATCTGTTCTTTCTTTTTTGCAATCCCAAGCCATAACGATAATGTGGAAAGCCTCAGCCCCGTAAACGCTTATTGGTTTGAGAAGAAAAATAGACCGATTGTTGACCGTAGCAAGATTACATCAAAATATTAAAAAATTAGCTATTTAAAAATCTATAAAAATAGGAGTGTGGATTAGAGGATAGTTCGATTTGGAACCAACAGTTCCGATTTGGAACCAATAGGACCGCAAAAAGCGTATTAACATTGTCCATTATTATTCAACACAGGTAAGAGATACGTCTGAAGCAAAAATGAAGGGAATTAAATAATCTTTCCAACGCGACACCTTCAGTTTTACGATCGGATTTTATTTACGCCTTATAGAAAGCAAAAACTGCAATAAGTCCGACTTATCCCCCTCACCCCTATACTCTCGGAATTTATATAAACATTTTTTAAAAGTTTGTAAATATCATATTATTAAATAATATTACAATCACATTTATGAAATATTTGATGGAAACGTTGATGAAATTCGTATAAAATTAATACATTAAAATATTAATGTAAGTTCTTGCTCTTAATGAGAAATAAATTTTAATCGATAAGACCTGTTAATAAAAGAAATTTTTTTTATCTGCCGGAGTTGGGACTACGCACACTTTATATTGCTCATATCGAAAACAACCTGTAAACTTTAATCGGAAATAGGGGTTATTTAGAGCTCAACTAGTTAAAAACTAGCTTATTTAAAAAATTAAAAATAAAAATACCAAAATGAGCCCCAAAAACTTTGCACAAAAACGCTTTATTATATAATATGTCAGCGACTTCCGTATATATAGTATTAATATTAATGACGCTATATAAGGATGGTGAGATTCATTTAAAGCTAAAATTGAACTAGGTACTACATATATATATGTAAAGAAAACCTAGTAGAAAAATTTCAATATTTAATTATTTAAAAAAATATAATTATTATAAATAGAGCTATATTGATTATTGAGTAGCGCTGTACGATTTGGCAGTTAAGCAGATACAAATTACACACATATATCAATATTTATTTTCGGTCAAAGAATCATACCTTTGTTTTGAACTTTCTATAAGCAGTTTCGACAAAAGCGTCTAGTATCGTTTCTATATCTTCTGTGATTAGTCACGAATATTCCGTAACACAAAACGGTTATAATGGCAGAGCAAGGAGCAACATATTGCTGTGATACATTCCCGGTTCGTCGGTGGATACGTAAACATTATACAAAAATACGAGGAAGACATACGGCGAACTGCAATCATTGTCTGAAACAAATAGGAATTCGACCCTTGATTTTATTATTCAATCACTTGGTACAGGTACATTCAAATGAATTAACAGAAGGAGAAAAGGAAGATAAACTTTTACATTGGGTATGGGATCATTTTACTATAAAAGACACACAGAACGCGACATGTAACATATGTGGCTCAGAACTTAAGCGCGATCTTATGCGGAACTTAAGTCAACACTTAAAAAATGTGCACGGGTAAGTACTGTAAAGGTTATCAAAAATAGATATTGAAGAATATAAAATTGGTAGTAATAAATAAATAACATCTAAAAATTGTAATGGTTAAAACAAGTACTGAACAAGGCATTTTTCAAAATATGTGTACTATTACTATGTTTAGTATTCAGAAAGGTACAAATTAGTAAAATTCGTTAATTTTATTTTTCATATAAAAATAACCAGATCTATATAAGATATGTATTTTCCATATTGCTATGCAAGATCCCATCTCAATATCCAAATAATAAGTTAAAAATTATAAAATACATTTGACTGCATAACGGAATAATATGCATATAATATAATTGAAACTAACTTCTATGCATTTTTTTATTTTGTCATTCACTCTATATTTAAATGTAGGATATTACCTCCATGTACAGACGATATGGATAATGTAAGTAGCGATGCAAACCCGGATACAACTATAAAAGAAGATCAACTACACTCAGCAACTTTAACTAAAATTTGTAAAAACATGGAACAGATAGGAGTTCTTGATAAGTAATTATTTACTATATATTTATTATATATTTATTACAATATAAATACATTATTTGAATTAAACATCGCGTTTCTTGTATATTCAGTAGTAAAATTGTCGAACCCGAAACATATGTCCAAGTGCAATATAAGTATAATGGATAGAAATCTTTACTTTCTATAATCTATTATAATGGTTTGGCATTGACATTGTGACTTTTCATGATGGTAACAATAACTAATTAAAAGCTAAGATTGGGGAGGTTACTTTTAAAAAGTAACTTGTCACTATGGGTTAGTTATTGAAACACGTAACTTACTATTTGTGTTTTAACGCGTTGAATCGTTACGTTCAATTGTTATTTGAACTATAATTATAAATAGTGAAATATCTTTTTCAATAAATATCAGGTGATGATAACGAGTTATTTATAAAAAAAATTTTTTCCCAATACTTAGTTTTTAATTAATCATAAAAAATTACACCGTCATTATCAATTCGTTATCATAAAAGGTAGCGATAAATGTAATGCCATTACTTACATTCCATCAGTATAAAAAAATATACAACCATATATATTTCATTAAAAAATAACGGTTTTCACATAATTACGAGTAATATAAAATTAACATTAAGTATAAAAGATATTTAAAAAGCCTATTACAGTCGAAGCTGGATCTTCGTTGCTTTAAATAATTCAATCTTGAATTACTAATATATACTATATATGTACTTGCATACATACCATATTGTAGTCTTTTTCAAACTGCGCGCCGAATTATTTTTTTTCCAGATTAAATAAACACAATTAAAACTACTCTAACAATCGCGAATTAAATTAAGTATAAATAAACATTTTACAACCATTCAATTTATTTTCATATTATATGAATAATACTCCATTAATCACTTTAACATCAACAAATCATATTTCGGTTGTTTTTTTCCTAGAAATGAGACTGACCATATTTTGGATCTTTCTCTACGCAGAGATGTACAAGAACATGCTTTGGATCTTTCAATCCATAAAGGTATGGATATAGCGGAATGATTATCAATTTGAAGCCAATCATCCCATGCAACATTATATAATATATGATATTGAATTTTGCGAAGAAAACTTCGATCTCTTTATGTTGGAATAACTTACAGTATATTTTATGTAAGTTACTCTTGTGTTATATTTTATTAATTACTGATGGATAAACGAGTTGAATATTACGATAGGTTTAATTTTTAGTTTAAATCTATTTTGTGACTCGTGTAATATTACACATGATACTATTATAATTCTTCTAATTGTAATTTTGCAAATATTTTGTATTAACAATTTATCTAAATTAGGTGTTAAGTGGTACTTATTCGACATGCGATTTGAGATGAATAGATACTATCTTAAGTACAATTTAAGAAACATACAAATGAAAACGTTTACGGTGGGATGCATTAAGTATAATATTTAATTCTATTTAATAACACTGAGAGAAAGGATTTTGTTAATTTAGCATGCCACCAGTACTTTAACCGGTGATTGGTAAATACGTAACAACAAATTATGTTGTTGTGATTGCTGCTAGTCCGCTATGCCAATCAATTATTAGTAACAGAAACAAACTAGATAGAATCTAACCTAACTTTTGGATAGACTTTAGCTCGTTTACATAGAATTTGTAGATGATCGTGGATTAAGTTGTAGGAAACCGACCAAGCACAGTCAAATATAGGGATAATACTTAACTAGAATTAATCAATTTCTTACAATTTGAGACCCTGCAACCGTCTACGACTTTCATATATACATGAGCCTCTTATTTGCTAGCGATACTATTGATTATTTGTTACATTAACGAATTAATTTGCAATCGTAACAAATCAATTGTTTTTT